TTGTTCAATGAATGAATCTGATCATTTCTATCACTTCAATTTGTTCCTTCTTTGGGGGTATTTTTGGCTGGCTATTAAATCTTTTCTTCCTGGCACATCTTTAAAACTTCTGCTCCCCCATCAACCACCAACTAGACCACTACCACACACTTCTTTACAGACTGTCCGCATGACTCCTGAAGTATTTGTGCTTTCCACATCTCCCTCACAGTGTCTATGCCATGCCACTGCCTTCTCTCCAGATAATGTCAAGTCTCTCTTATAACCAATGCCTGGCCTCAACCGGCAAAATCCCATCCCAGGTCTGTGTTAAAACCCTCCTATGAGTATTTTTAATGAGTATGTTCTCCTCTTTAAAATCCTTTCTCAAAACCTCTTCTAATTATCCTTTCAGAAGGGAAAGGAACTAGCAATTTAATCATTGTATCTTGTTTTAAATGTGGCAGGCAGTGTGAATAGAATGTTCTTTCCATTATCTTTCAAGGCCTTTCGAGGGGGTAGTATCTTTATTAGATCTGCTGAGCATGTTAAAAAGTCTCAATCCAAGTTAAGCAATAGGATCAGTATTTCATAGTTTGTGCTGATATCATTGCTGATGTCAGATGGATCTTGGATGAAAGCAAAGAATACCAGAAAGATGTTTACCTGTGTTTTATTGACTATGCAAAGGCATTTGATTGTATGGAGTATAATAAATTACAGACAACATTGTGAAAAATGATCATTCCAGAACAGTTCATTGTGCTTATGAGGAACCTGTAAAAAGACCAAGAGGCAGTTGTTCAAACACAACAAGATACTGCATGATTTAAAACCAGGAAAAGTGTGTGTCAGGCGTGTACCCTTTCATCATACTTCTTCAATGTGTATGCTGAGGAAGTAATCTGAGAAGTTGGACTATATGAAGAAGAATGCAACATCAGAATTGGAGGAAGACTCATTAACAACCTGCAATATGCAGATGACACAACTTTGCTTGCTGAAAGCGAAGACTTGAAGCACTTACTGATGAAGATAAGAGATTACAACCTTCAGTATGAATTGCATCGCAACATAAAGAAAACAAAAATCCTCATGACTGGACCAATAAGCAACATCATGATTAGCAGAGAAAATATTGAAGTCGTCAAGAATTTCATTTTCCTGGGATTCACAATCAATGCCCATGGAAGTAGCCGTCAAGAAATCAAATGGCATATTGCATTGGGCAAACCTGCTGCAAAAGGCCTCTTTAAAGTGTCAAAAAGCAGGGGTGTAACTTTGAGCACTCTGAAGCACCTGATGCAGGCCACAGTATTTTCAATCACTGCATATGCATGGGAAAGCTGGACAATGAATAAGGAAGACCAAAGAACTGATGCCTTTGAATTCTAGTATTGGCAGAGAATATTGAATAACCATGGGCTACCACCATAACCACGGTACCACCAGAGCTCCTTATGGACTACCAGAAGAAGGTACAAGTCTTTCTTGGAAGAAGCATGACCAGAATGCATCTTAGAAGGGAGGATGAAGAAACTTCATCTCACACACTTTGGATATGTTATCAGGCAGGACCTGTCCCTGGAGAAAGACACCATCCTTGGTAAAGTGGAGGGTCTGAGAAAAAGAGGAAGACCCTCAACCAAATGGATTGACATAGTGGCTGCAACGCTGGGTTCAAACATAGCAATGGCTCCGAGGATGGCACACGATTGGGCTGTGCTTCATTCTGTCATATGTGTGGTCACTATGAGACCAAACTGCCTCTACGGCACCCAACAACAACAACAACAAGCCATACGACAGAGCCACTGGGTGATGCAAAGAGTTAAGATGTTCACTACTAACTGAAAGGTTGGAAAGATTGGAAAGTCATGGTGAACAATTTCTGGAAAATCAGCCATTTAAAACCCAGTGGAGCACAGTTCTACTCTGACACACATGAGGTTGGCAAGGGTCGGATTGGGCTCAGTGGAAACTGGTGGCTGTACAAGTTACGTAGACAGAGGATGGCAATGATGCTCTTCCTGATATGAAGATTTGGTGGCATTCTTGTTAGGGACCATGGAGTCTGCTCTGACTCATAGTGACTCTCCATACAGCACAGCAAAATCTTGCTCGGGCCTGTGCCATCCTCACAATCATTGCTACGGTTGAGCCTATTGTTACAGCCACTGCATCAACCCATCTCATTGAGGGCCTTCCTCTTGTTGCTGACCCTCTACTTTACCCAGCATGATGTCCTTCTCCAGGGACTCCCCATAACATGTCCAAAGTACGTGAGATGAAGTTTTGTTATCCTACCCTCTAAGAAACATTCTGGCTAAACTTCTTCCAAGATAGATTTGTTCATTCTTCTGGCAGTCCGTGGCATAGTCAATATTCTTTGCCAACACCAACATCCAGAGGCTTCAATTCTCCTTCAATGTTCCTTATTCGTTGTCCGGCTTTCATATACACACGATGTAATTGAAAATACCATGGCTTGGTTCAAGAGTACCTTGGTCCTCAAAATGGCATCTTTGCTTTTTAACCCTTTAAAGAGGTCTTTGGCAGCAGATCTGCTCAATGCAACATGTCTGATTTCTTGACTGCTGTTTCCATGGATAGTGATTGTGGAGCGAATAAAATGAAACCCTTGACAACTCCAATATTGTCTCCATTTATCAAGATGTTGCTTACTGGTCCAGTTGTGAGGATTTTCAATGCTGCCTAGTACTATTTTCTCACATAACAACAACAACAACAGTACTGTTTTCTAAAGGGAAACAAAACACAACTTTTGATTCATTAACAGATACATGAATAGTAACATTGAGATTTGGTCAGGGGTTCAGACCCTAGATTTATAGAATTTGCTTCAATTTTTCACTAAGATTTCTAAGAATTGGGCTTATTTTTTTAATGTGTACACTGTGTTTCTCTCCATTTGTCCATCATTACTAGACTCTGGTAAATGTCTGGGTCTGATCCAAGATGTTGCAATTTCCCCAAGGACACCACAAAAGGAGTACAGTGTGCCTGGTTAATCTTCTGATGTGGCTCAAAGAACAAACGCAATTCCATCCAATGTGCTTTTCCCAGATTTTTATGATTTCCTTCAGGGAAGGATATGGCAGGTCAGGCACAGCACAGATTTCCTATTAATGCACAGGTCCAACCACCCTAACATATCTCATTGCATGGCCCAGGATCACTCGTATATCACCTGTGTCTGTTTCACACCCAAAAATCTGTTAATCCTAAAGAAGAGTGAGCCTTAAAAACTATGCACAGAATGTCCTGCTAATAAATGAACCATCATTCTCAGCTGCCAGGCTTTGGCAGGGAGGACAGAGTGCTATTAGATTCGAGCTGAAGAGACCCTCTGTCTGCTTTAACTGGAGGACATGGTGCAATGCATGGTTTAATTTCCCTCAACTCTTTAATTGAACCTCCATGCTAACGGCCTAATGGGACACTGTGGGATTATTTCTTGCAGCTTTTAAATTAAGGTTTGAGACTCCCCTCAGGACTTGCACAGCACTCCAATTAACACTAATTGGTATTGCACATGATTACCAAGTGAAAAACACGATTTTCCCAAAAATGGCATCTCTTTGCTCCTGCTTTCAAAAGTCCATAAATTCTAAAGAAACAGTCAGTAGTTATGAGGGAGTCTAGTATGGTGTCTAAATATACCATGCACTGCCAGATGAATGAACAAATCTGCCTTGGAAGGAGTACAACCAGAATACTCCTTAAAAGCATTGATGGCAAGACTTCATCTCAGGATGTTATCAGGAGAGACTAGTCCCTAGAGAAGGACATCATGCTCGGTGAAATAGAGGGTCAGTGAAAAGGAGGAAGACCCTCAACAAGAAGGATTGGCACAGTGGTTGCAGCAATGGGGTCAAACATGGCAATGATGGTGAGGACGGCACAGGACTGGGCAGCGTGGGGCTCTGTTGTATACAGGGTCACTAGGAGTTGGAACTGACTTGACAGCACCTACCAACAACAGTGTTGTTGTAGTTGTTTATTTGCCATCGAGTCGGACCCAACTCATAGTGACCCTTCCTTGGGTTTCCAAGGCAGTATCACCACGGAAGTAGATTAATCAACCTTCATTCCGAGGAGTGGCTGGTGGGTTTGAATCACCAGCCTTCTGGTTAGCAGTCAAGTGGTTTAGGTACTAAGCTACAAGAGCTCCTAACAATAACAATAACAACATGATATTTATACAGCAGAAAACTGACAACTTATATGTCTATGATGGGAGATTGTGTAACAGTAGAACCAAACATAATATTCTTGAATGCTATGAAATGTTTTTCCTATGGAGAAATGTGCATGCTATATTGTTAAGTGAAAGCAGCTAAAGCATTGTAAAAATATGATACCACCTTTCTCCATAAACCAACAAAAAAAAACCAAACACTGTCATCTAGTCGATTTGATTCATTGTGACCCCAGTTGGGTTTCTGAGGCAGTAAATCTTTATGGAAGTAGATTGCCCAGTCTTACAACTGCAGAGTGGCTGGTGAATTTGAACCACCAACCTTTTGGTTAGCAGTCAGATGCCTTAGGCACTGTGCTACCAGAGCTCCTTAGAAATAATGTATACCAACATGTAAAGAATAATTATCTTGGGATGGTGGAAACACCATTGATCTTTATCATATTCATTTGTATCTCTAATTTTCTTTTTAAAAAAAAAATCACTTTTGCAGAAATAAATGTTATTTTCCTATGTCCATCATTGACTCCTGTAGAATGGATGCAAGATAGAAGTTTATTTTGGAATTTTTTAAATCAATCCTCATCTACCCCAAACCCTGTACAGGACACTGAGAATGCTTTATCAATAATGTGTTAATTGTTCCCAATGAAATCCTGAAGGTAAACAGAGTTTTTATCAGTGTGTGCAGAGGCAAGCACTGGAGTGAATTGTCTCAATTCTCGTGTTCAAACAGAATCTATTGTGCCAGAGCGCCCACCTGAGAGGGTTCACTCACATCCCTGTGTTTCTCTTCCAGAGCCAAAGATGTTTGTCTTGCTCTATGTTACAAGTTTTGCCATTTGTGCAAGTGGACAACCTCGGGGTAATCAGTTCAAAGGAGAAAGCTACTCCTCAAGATATATCTGTAGCATCCCTGGGTTACCTGGACCGCCAGGCCCCCCTGGAGCAAACGGTTCCCCCGGGCCCCATGGTCGGATCGGCCTTCCAGGAAGAGATGGTAGAGACGGCAGGAAAGGAGAGAAAGGTGAAAAGGGGGCTGCAGGTAACGATGCTGAAGTTCCATGAACACCTTTCCTTCCTCTTCACCTGTCTGTGTTGCTTTCTTTCATGGGAATTGCTCCGTAAAGCCCTTCTCTACTTCATCTTCATTGATAATAGTAATTTATTGAACCCCTGCTTCGTTCAGAGTCCCTGGGTAGAACCCAACAACCAATGTGCTTGGCTGCTACCCAAAAGGTTGGAGACTCAAGTCCACCCAGATGTTCCTCAGAAGAAAGGCCTGGCAATCCACTCTGAAAAATCAGTCCTTGAAAGGCCTATGGAGCCCAGTTCTACTCTGACCCACAGGCGGCATCATGAGTCAGGGTCAACTTGACAACAACTGGTGGTTGGTACTAGGCTTCAAGTACTGCACCAAATTCTTTATCTTGACCTTCTTGCATTCTTGTTTAATTGTACCTATGACTCCTTCAGATAGACATTATCACATTCTGTAGATATAAAAACTGAGAGATTAAATGAATTCCTGAAGATGAAAGTGCACTGCTAGTAACTGGCAGAAGTGGATTCAAACATCTGAGTCCTGGAACCAGTTGGCTGTACCCCAGCGTTCCCAGTTACCAGACTGCAACCACTGTGACAGCCAGCAGGCAATGTCTGGATGTGGGAATGCATGGATGGATGGACACACAGATGGACAGGAGGGGAGATGCACAGCCTAAGGAGAGGCAGAAATTCAGAGTCAGAAGCACAGGTGCCATCCCTGTGCCTGCGAAGATATGTAAGGGACGTCTAGGCTTATTTTCACACTTGAAATGACAGCAGTCCCCTGTAGCCTTCCTTCCCTAGCTCATCATTACCCTGCCTGTGCTGTGGCTGCTGGTACTATCCCCCAGCTCTTTCCAGCAACACGCTGTTGCTTAGTCCTTCAGTCATTTTCACTTTTTTGTTTTCTTGTCACAAATAAGTTGGCCCAGGAAGCTTGCCAGCTTCTGCAATCCTTCAGAGTAAATTGAATTGAAATTTTAGAGAGGCTGTGTTAGCTCTAAAATGGAAAGTGTTTTGGAATCAATATTGGAAAACAAGTTTCTGAGTAAAAAACTGGGACAAAGGATAAGAAGGGAAAAAGTCAATAGATCCAGGCAATAGGTCTCTCTCCAATCATTGCACCTGATTTACTGGTGCTCCACGAGACGATAGCATAATAAATATTCAAATGATTAGATAATAATTCACTTTTGAATTTGCCACACAATACAGAAAATATTGTATGCATCAGTGGCTACCAAATCTATGAACACTGTCCAACATTAGATAAAGAATATTTAGACAAATGTTCAGCATCAGATAAAGGATCTTTAATTTGGACCTTAGATGTTATTTTTCAAAGACTTTCATATCGTAACACCTGTGAACATAAGTGATCACTTGGTCATGGTCATGAGTATTTTTGAAGTCCAATAACAATACTAGGATTAGAATTTATATTAGTGGCCCTTTTCATTTCTTTTGCCTAGAGGGAATAATGTAGTGGTTACACCAACATGCTTTGGAGTTAGAAAGACTTCAGATTCAATCTTGGCTGCTTCAATTACAAACAGTATCCTTGGGCCTCTTTGACCCTTAGTGTCCTCATTTGTCAATAGCTGTATGCCAAAGGGGCAGGAAGGCCTAATCTTCTGACTTCCTCTAACCCCACAAGTGGAAGATAGAATCACCATCATCACCTGCAAGGCCAGACGTGTTGCTTCCCTCCAGCCCTTTCACCAACCCTGACACCAACCGTTCCTTCCATAGCACCCACCACCTCTCTGCTGGGTTCAATAATTCAATGCAGTGGCCACACAGAACTCTTAGATTAAGGGGTTTATTAGGGAAGAAACAGGCTACAATTGAAGTTCAGGAACACGCTCAGTTTCTCTCAGCCCAGTGTCTCTCAGCCAACCATCTATCTCAGTCTCTTTCTCAGCAGTGCGTGTCTCTCAGTGTCTCTTTCTCAGCAGCATGTGTCTCTCAGGAGTGCGTTTTTCTCAGCAGCACCTCTTTCTCAGCCAGCAGTCAGAGAGACTTCTGCCTCCAGGAGGGGTCCTTTTGAACCTGGCAGAGTGGTCAAACTAACCAATCATAACATCAGAATTCTAAGCACCTGAGAGAGAGCGAACTTCCTACAACATTGGTTTGTGCCACTCTCAACAGAATTACCCCAGGTGGATAACTTTAACAATCAGGGGCTCCTCAGTTGCTCACAAAAAAATTCCACCATGGATTTTACAAAGATTTATGGCTAGAAAAGCCATACTGGTAATTTACTACACTGCAGTGTAGGCAGTGAGGGTGATTGTGAAGATTACGAGCAATAACCCATGGCAAGCACTCAGCAGAACAAGCACTCATGGAAGTGAGCTGTTACTACCAATTACATTGTGATCTACATATGTAAGGCATGGCTACATTCAGGAATATCCAAAGTCATACAACAAACTGGAAGTGGATGATTGGTTTCTTGAGGTAGTTGGAGCATTATCTGAAGGTATTTGTATGGATATACATTCAGACTAAATTACATGTACACAATTCCTGCAATTTTTTCCATACGTGACAACAGCTGCACTCCCATATCCATGAGTCCATTCATCCACTTTCCCATATATTAGTCACACAACAAAATATTTCAGTACCTATTAGTATGTAGTATTATTCTAGATCAGTGTCTCTCAATCTTGGCAGAAATGATAGTTCAGACCAATAATTCATCGCTGTGGAGGACTGCGTTGATCATTAAAGGATGTTTAACAGCATCCTGTAAAATGCCATTAGTACCCACTTAGTTGTGACAAACTGCCCTACTTGACCAGATAGTGTCAACTGTGCTCTGGGCTGGAGTATAGGCACCACACTGGGAATGCAAGTGTGAGTAAGACGTGGGCTTTGCCTGGACGACATGCATTTGGGTTTGTTGTTGGTAGGTACTGTCCAGTTGGTTCTGACTCATAGCAACCCTACTTACGACAGAATGAAACATTCCCTGGTCCTGTGTCATCCTCACAATCATCACTAAGCTTGAGCCCATCATGTGGGAGAGGACAATATGTCCACATACAATGACAATATGTCATAATACCAATAATACGAATGCACTTACATTTAGTGTTTAATGTCCACTGTAACCTTATTAGCAACAATCATATTCAGCAACAGTAATATTCTTACAAATGAAGAAAAATTGAAATTCAATAAAATAAAATGACTTTCCCAGCCTGGGATTATTTAAATCCAATATACACATGTACACATATAAGGATATATTGCAGCTAAGGAAAGAAAGGTAAAGCCTCTTTATGTCCAATGAAGAGAAAACTGCCTCACTTATAAAGAAGAGGAATAGAGAGGTCTTTGGGATATGTTCTTAGTGTAGATGGAACTAGATAGAACTAGTGTCTTCTCAGCCATGTATTCTTGTTCAACATGCCCACTACCTCCACCCCACGAGGAAGGAAGAAAGGCAGGCAGAAGGTCAGGAAGGTAGGAGGGAATACGGAAGGAAGGAAGGAAGGGAGGGAGGGAGGGAGGGAGGGAGGGAGGGAGAGGAAATTAAACTGAAGAAGTAATCTACATAAATCCAGTTCATGGAGAACTAAGAATAAATCCTTTCCCTTCAAACTTCAAGACCTAAACATCAACCAGTTGGCATCAGATTGATTCTGACCCATGAAAACTCCATGCATGTCAGAGTAGAGCTGTGCTCCATAGGGTTTTCTATGGCTGATTTTTTGGAAGTAAATCACCAGGCTTTTCTTCTGAGATGTCACCAAACATCGGGTTAGCAGCTCAGGGTATTAACTTTAAGCATTTAAGAAAGTTAACCCTTTCTCCATTATTCTCCCATCTGCCCAAGCGTATGTCCGGCTGAATAGGGAGCAGGAGAATGATTTCTTCTTTTCACTTTCATGTATTGTCCCTCAGTACAAGCAAATTCTTCATACAAACAGGGAGAATTGCCATAAATTATTACCTCTAATCCATGATCATCTATCACCCAACAGTTAAACATATTAAGGGAATATAAATATAAAAAATCCAAGAGTTCAAGTTGTGAAGATCTTTTCATGGCTAGCATTGTAGAATTACATCCCAGTATTTACGGGTTAAGGAGCCCTGGTAGCCCAGTGGTTAAGTACTATCTGCTAACCAAAAGGTTGGTTTGAACCCACCAGCTGCTCTGTGGGAGAAAAGACTTACAGATCTGCTCCCACTAAGATTATATCCTAGGATGTCCTATGGGGCAGTTCTACTCTGTCTTGTAAGATCAGAGTTGGAATCAACTTAACCGCAATGGATTTGGGTTTATTTGTGATTTAAGGAGCTCTAGTGGCCCAATAAATGGGAGCACTGGTAGCATAGTGGCTAAGACACTTGCCTGCTAACCAGACGGCTGGCGGTTCAAACCCACCAGCCACTCCTCGGAAGGAAGGAAGGTTGGACAATCCTACTGCCATAGTAATACTGCCTTGGAAACCCAAGGAGGGGTCACTATGAGTCGGGTTTGACTCGACGGCACATAACAACAACAACAACAGTGGCCCAATAAGGAGCTCTGGTGGTACAGTGGTTAAGGCATTTGGCTGCTAACCAAAAGGTCAGTGGTTTGAACTCATAAGCCTCTCTGTGGAAGAAAGATGAGGCAGTCTGCCTCTGTGAAGATTTAGAGCCTTGGAAACCTGGTAGGGGTTGCTATGAGTTGGAATCAATTCGATGGCAGCGAGTTCAGTTTTTTTGACGGGCCCAATGGATAAGCACTCGCTATTGACCAAAAGATCAGTGGTTTAAACCCATAAGTTGCACCACGAGAGAAAGATGTGGCAGGCTACTTCTGCACAGATTATAGCCTTGGAATCTCTGTGGGGCAGTCCTTTAGGGTCACTATGAATTGAAATCATCTCAGTGGCACACAACAACAACAACAATTTATGGTTTGGTCTCAAAGAACTTTCAGAAGGATGAAACTTCAACAATCTACTCCAATTCTTTCATTTCAAGGACTGGGAACTGAAGCCAGACAAATCAAGGCCCTAATTCAGGTTCACCCAAATAGTAAATGGCTAAAGCAGGGTTTAGGTTGTCAAAGAATTTATGTTGCTTGGTTCTACAATCAATGCCAACGGAAACAGCAGTCAGGACATTAGACAACGTGTAGCATTGGGAAAGTCAACTGCGAAGGAACTGTTTCAAGTGCTGAGGAGCAAGGATATCTC